TGATTATCAGAATCGTGTCTTAAGGTAATGAAAATCATATGGCATGGACAGTGCTGGATTAACCATTAGGGAAACAAGGTACGTGCCTAGGGCACCAAGCTTTTGGGGGCACCACAACTCGTCAAGAAAAATGTGTATATAGCATCTCACATCTATTAATTTTAATACAGAAATACCTAATTGTAGGTCTTATATGAGTGATAGCAGTGTTTACATTTCACAACTGTTTTTTCTCTGTTAGTTTTTTGCTGCTGGTATGTTCAATATTATGACAGTGGAGGATCGGGGGCCCGAGGCAGTAGGGGGCACCCATGTGGGTTTGTGCCTAGGGCACCAAGATGGCTTAATCCGGCCCTGGGCATGGAGCATTGGCGTACAATTAATTATCAGAAAATAATTCCAAACCCTATTGCCCCCCCCCCCATACATCAATGGAAATTGATGATTACTCAGTAAAATAAATCCCCATGCGTGTATTATGTATACCGTTTGCTAGAAGGACTCAAGGACGAAGTCACAAGGCTTTTTTTTTTTCTTCTTTAGGACTGGAAGCTGGATCATAGACAGCGAATTGCCTCTCTCGACGCACCCGAATACGCACCAGGGGAACACCGGATATGGACGATACAGCTTTGCACCAGTTGCGTCGCCGGAGTTGTCGAAATTTTTAATTGTATTCGCCTACGGGGACCCTGCTCCCGGTTTTCGATTCAGGGTTTCCTTCCAGAGTGGCCATCCAAGGTTAACTGGTCCCATCCACCCGGGGGTGCTGGTGTCGCTTTTGATTGACTTGGTCTTTGTTGGGGATTGAACGCCTGACGTTTGTTTCAGTTTATACCACTCGACTAACCAGTCATCCCATGTATTACTTCGGAAAATCGTCACTCTAGCCCACTGGTCATTCCAACAGAAGCTTATTAATGGTAGCTATAGGGTTGCAGTCGTCCGGGAGGGGGGTGGGGGCTGTCGAGGCNGGGGGGGACTTTCGAGGCGGGGAAGAGGGGGGGAGGAGAGGCCAAGCGTTGGCGGACCGCGCCTTTCGCAACACCCTTGAAAAATAATACAAATCTTTTTAAACATAAAGTTATAAGCCACGTTGTAAAAAAAAAGTTATTCAATCGGGCGTTAACACCGAAGAAAGCTTTATTGGGACGGCAGATGGTGACAAAGTTATGTCACGTGCCCTTGACCTAGGCCATGATATTGGCGAACAAAAGTTTCCTTTTCAACTGCGACGTAATTTTTTACTCTTTGACACGTATAAAAGTTACCATGTTTTTGTATCAACGAAGCCTTTTCTCTATCCGGCGCTTTTCTGAAACATCTCAAAGACTTTGTGGTCACAGACATTTCTTGTTGGGATAGTTTACATTGTGGGAAAAAAATTCCTTCATTTTGGAAACCGTAATATTCTATATTGTTGTCACATCAAAAAATTTACCGATTTCCGCCGTTACAAAAAATGAAGCGTTTTGAAGTAGTTTTCTGTTATCCAAGTTTTAAACTGGACCTTGACAATCATGATAGTTTTGTATACTTATCTCTATATTTTATTAATTATGCTTATTAGTTATAGACATTGTAAATACGTGTCGTATGTAAATATTTAGTATACACAATATTATGCCATTAACAAGTTATACACATGGATGTGAACGTTATGTATACCCATGTATGGGACAATAACATTATGACTATTTATATTAATTTGTTATGAAATTTTATGTAGCTCACTACCATTGTTGTCAGTTGTGAGCCTTGTTGTATAATTACACATACACGGCACTTGACATTATCACCAATACTGGTTATGTGCACAAAGGTAAAAATGTTCAGTGTTAATGTATGATAGAAATAAAAATAAACAACTCATGACTTAAAACACATTTGAAATCTGAAATAAAGTGTGTGTATTTTTTGTGAGGTTTTTTTCAGTGGGTGGTGCTCTTGAATGTGTAATTACTGATGGGTTTGTGGTAGTGTTGTGCGTGACAGGTAAGTTTGTGGTAGTCGTATGGATGACAGGTAAGTTTGTGGTAGTGTTGTGTGTGACAGGTAAGTTTGTGGTAGTGTTGTGTGTGACAGGTAAGTTTGTGGTAGTGTTGTGTGTGACAGGTAAGTTTGTGGTGATGATATGTGTGTGTGACAGGTAAGTTTGTGGTGATGATATGTGTGTGTGTTCTTGTTAGTGGTGTGTGTGTGTGACAGGTAATTTCGTGGTAGTGGAGTGTGTATGACAGGTTAGTTTGTGATGGTGATGTATGTGTGTGCGATAGTGATGTGTGTGTGTGAGACACGATTGCTTGTGGTAGACGTATTTTTTTTGGTCCGGTTGAGACTAATCATTATTTTGAGAGATGGGTGTGGGAGACAGAGTCATTTGATTGTGATGATTGGGACAGGTGTGTTTGATTGTGGTGATTGGGTGGGACGTGTGTGTTTGATTTTGGAGATTGGGACAGGTGTGTTTGATTGAAGTGATTGGTACAGGTGTGTTTGATTGAGGTGATTGTGACAGGTGTGTTAGATTTAGGCGATGGGGACAGGTGTGTTTGTTTGTGGTGTTTGGGACATGTGTGTTTGATTGAGGTGATTGGGACAGATGTGTTTGATTGAGGTGATTGTGTCAGGTGGGTTGGTTTGAGGGGGTCGTCACAAGTTTGGTTTGTTTGAGGTGATAGGGACAGGGGGATCAGTGATGTGGGACAGGTTCGTGCTAGCCGAGCGGCGTATGTGAGATTCTGTTAGGCGCTCGGGACGTGAGTCTTTGTCTTAGGGGATTGAGATGAGAACGCCGTGTGATGTCAATGATGACTCTGTGTGGGGGTTCTGCATTTGGGTCCCATTTCTTGTTTATTAAATACATCATGGTACCTTATCTTCCCAAAGCGTGTGGACTTGGCATGAAACATTCACAAGGACGACCTGACAGCATCACATCTTCGTCTCAATAAAAAGGGGGAACAAAACTCTGAATTTCAACATTGGAAAGAAGAGACTAGCCTGTCCTGACATGATGGTGAATGTAATGAATCTTACAGTTTGCGTGGCGCTGATTTGCATCATAAAACTGGGTAAGTCTAGATGAATATCTTTTTTTTTAAATTTTAGATTGTATGGAACCAAAACATCAATTCATGTTTACAACACAGACATGCCTCGTACATAGATTGCACAACTCTAATGTTTATGCAGTAAGAAAAAAAAATCTTTACAGATTGATTTTGAAGGCGTTTCTATTTTGTTTTTAAAATTTGGCATCCGATGACGATGGTGTGACGTCACAATGTGACGATGGTGTGATGTCACAATGGGACGATGGTGTGTTGTCCCAACGTGACGATGGTGTGACGTCACAATGTGACGATGGTGTGACTTCGCAGGACGAAATTACAAGGCCTAGGATTTTTTTATTATTATTTAGGACTATAAGCTGATTCCCGAGACAGCATATCGCCTCTCTCCAGTCCCCACGCACATGGATAGCCCAAGGGAACACCATATGTGGATGACAGAGCTTGGCACCAGTTGCGTCGCAGGAATAGTTGGAATTTTTCATGTGTATTAATTGTATCCGCCTACGGGACTTCTTCTCCGGGTTGTGATTCAGAGTTTTCTTCTTTAAGATTAGAGCTTCTCAACCTGTGGGTTGCGGTCCCTTTAGGGGTCGCAGGACCCTCTCCCAGGGCTCGACTAAGACCATCGGAAAACACACAAACTCAAAAGGCATGAAGTAGCGACAAAAATAATTTTGTGTTTGGGGGTCGCCATAACGCGAGGTACGGCATCGAAGGGTCACGGCATTAGGAAGGTTGAGAACCACTATCTTGGATGACTTGCCATCCAGGGTTAACCCCTGGTTGCTTGTGTTGTTTGGCATGACTTCGTCTTTGGTGAGGATTATTTTATTGTATTAGATCAAGTAAAAAGCAATTTCGAGAGTAGGCTGTTACCCCTTATGACGAAGTGACCAGGGGTCTATGAGGTGTGTTTGCCTTTGTTGTTCCTCCGACAGTTTGAATTTTTTTTTTTTTTGAGCTTGTAAATGTACAAACATATAGTCCATTCAATTATCTTTCATTGGATACCAAATTTTGTCTTACAAACCCTACAATAATTTTAAAATATTTTTTAATAAATCCAAACTCTCACTTCTCGGACCCTGGTTGAAAAGTCCCAGCCTTTGTTAAATCCCTCCTCAGATTCTTCTACATGTTTGTTGATTTCGTCCCTTCGGTCAGTTAAACACACACACACACTAAAAAAAATATTTTATTATTACTTTCAGGATCTGATGTTGATGCCCAGACAAATGGAGGCGCTGGCGATGGGGGATTTGGAGGAGCTGGTGGGACTGGTGGGACTGGAGGCACTGGTGGGGCTGGTGGGACTGGTGGGGCTGGAGGGGCCGGGTCTGTCGGGGGCGACGGCGGAGACGCTGGTTACGGAGGAAGAGGGGGTGATGCGGGGTCCGGGTCAAACGGGGCAATCGGAGGTGTAGGGGGGACTGGGGGTGTTGGGGGTGCCTCGTCTGTTGGACTTCCAGGGATCGCTGGGAAGAATGGGGGTAATGGAAAGCCCGGCTCACCCCAGGTTGCCGGGGGAGTTGCGGGAGCTGGGACAAATGCAGGAGCTGCAGTCGGGGGAGTTGGAGGTGCCGGGGGTTCTGGTGGCGCCGGGGGTGCTGGGTCTATTGGGGGAAACGGGGGTTTCGGAGGAAACGCTGGCTACGGGGGGAGAGGGGGTAATGCGGGGTCTGGTAGAACTGGAGGAACTGGGGGTGTCGGGGGGACTGGTGGCGTTGGGGGGGTTGGGAATAAAGGGGGTGCCGGGGGACATGCTGGTTACGGGGGAAAAGGGGGTGATGTGGGGCATTGGTCAAAGGGTGCAGCTGGAGGTCTTGAAAGGTCTGGCAGGGTTGTTGGGACTGGTGGTGTCGAAGGCGCCTGGGACAGTAGAGGAGATGCTGGCGAGTGGAGAGTTGGCGGACCAGCGGCTATTTATAGCTCCGGGATTGTTGGGGGAACTGAAGGTGTTGATCAAACTGGAGGTGTTGATCAGACTGGAGGAGCTGATCTGACTGTAGGTGCTGATCGGACTGGAGATGTTGATCAGACTGGAGATGCTGATCAGACTGGAGATGTTGATCAGACTGAAGATGCTGATCAGACTGCAGGTCTTGAAAGGTCTGGCCGGTTTGTTGGGAATGGTGGTGTCGAAGGCGCCTTTGACAGTGAGGGAGATGCTGGCGAGTGGAGAGTTGGCGGACCAGCGGCTATTTATAGCTCCGGGATTGTTGGGGGAACTGAAGGTGTTGATCAAACTGGAGGTGTTGATCAGAATGGAGATGCTGATCGGACTGGACCTGGAAGTGTTGATCGGACTGGAGATGTTGATCGGACTGGAGGTGTTGATCCGACTGGAGGTGCTGATCAGACTGGGGGTGTTGATCGGGCTGGAGGTGTTGATCGGAATGGAGGTGCTGATCGCACGGGAGGTGTTGATCGGACTGGAGGTGTTGTGTTAAAAAGGATTGCTGTAATACAAGCTGGTTCTTCTCAGTGTACATGTCGATAACACATATATATATATTTATTTAAAAACACATTTATTTCGTTAATGTAAATTGGGCTGTGTTGTTTATGGTTGACATGAGATGAAAGACTTTGACTTGGTATGCTCGTATGTAGTTTTATATTGTTGCGTCTATTTTTTAAATGTGGTAAATTTTAGATTGTTTTTATTTCTTTTTTTAATATGGTTGGCTTTGTACCGCGCTTCGAGCTTTTGGAGATGAAGCGTGTCTTTCAAATAAACTGTATTATTATTATACATACATACGAATGTATGTAGCCTATTGTCATTTCATTATTGTTTATTTATCTTAAGGGGGCTTATACAAACAAATATAGGTTTTTATTATACACTCATTCATAAAGATTCTATTTTTTTCTTTTATAAATTAAAAAAAAAAACGTATTTTTTATTTGCATTTATTTTGTTCATAAATAAATATATATACATATTTTCTAGAAACATTTAAGACTTTTATTATTAATTTCTAACTCGTCTGTGTGTTTGTCTGTTTGTTTGTTGGTTTGTGTTGTAAATTTCATGTTTTGCTGTGTGTTTTTGTTATAGTTTTTTTTAAATTGTTTTTATTTTTCAATATTTTATTGAAGAAAATATTCAAAATAGGCTTTTTTTTTATAACAGCATTAAAATAAATATTACAATTTATTTGACTCTTTACATTCCTTGAATTTTGCATGTTTCTCTTGAGATTTCTAGTGAGCTTACAAAACAGCCAATAACTTTTAGAACCCATGTCTAAAATTCATGATGTTTGTATATTATTGTGGGGATATGCATACGGTTTCTGAAAATATTATTTTCAAACACATATAGTGTCAATACTTAGAAGTTGTGAACAAAATAATGCAATGCTTTGTTTAATGAAAATTTCTAAAAAAAAAACAAAAATACAAATTGGTGATCACATGCAAAGAAGGAAAAAAACAAACCCCATGGGATTGTTTAGTAAAAATCTGTTTATTTAGAAAGCAAAGTCATTTTCTTGTATCATCTGAATGATTTAAAACATTTCATGAGCATTTGACCAAAATATAAATTATTTTGTAAAATGTGTCAAAAAGGGGAAATAATTAAAAAATCCAAAAAAAAATCACCGCCCCTCCACAAAGTATTCACAAAAATGACAGGTTATTATTATTTTACCTTTTAAAAATTACTCACAGATTTAAGAACATAATAGAGACTTTAAGCTTCATGGTACTGTTACTCAGAAAGTTTCTTGATTTTTTTGACATAGATAAATTTACCATGTGCTACTTTTGATTTATGATTTGATTTTATTTTTATAGCACACTGCAGAATGGCTTTTACAATCTATGCAAACAGGAATTATTGCATTTATATTGCATTTTGTGCTATTTACATATGCGGCACTTGGAACATCATCACTTTTAATAAATGATCTAATGCTATAATAATTTCCTCGGTGAAGTCAATTGAGAATAAAATGTGAGGTACCTTCAGTTCATCTATATCATAGTTTTCCATTGAACAATCCTGAAGAGATTATAGCTGGCCGTATCAACAAAATGGAAAAAGTGTTCAGTCCAGTGCTGTTCTCTTTACTTAGAGTGATATATTCATTTATCAACAGGTCACAGGAATGAATTGTATGATTTCAAAATCTGATTTGACAATATTTGATTTTCTCCCCAATAATGCCTAGAAAGACACAAATCAGTTTTGGTTTTGTTCACAAAAGAAAATCCATTTGCTGTCATTTTATTTGAAACAAGTGAGGCTTGTTTAAATTTTCTCTCCACTTAACATTATATAAATTATATTATCTTTTATCCATCGCATCATATCACATTGCTTTGGTTTATATCTTTATTTACTTCTGATAAAGTCTGACAAGTTCACTTTGCACAGTTTGTCCTCATTGTCTCTATCAAGAGCAGAAACTTTGAAGAATGTCTTATTTGAATAAATCTGTTTTTGGAATAAGGCACGAGCCCACAATGGTGGTAATGAAACATTGTTGCGGTTGACGAGTATTTTTTAGCACCGAGGACTTGTACAGTTGACATGCACATTAGTGGTCTAGAAATGTGTAAAATAGGTACATTGTTAAAATATCAACAAACCACAGTTAATGGAAGGTTTAGAAGGTTCCATGGTAGTTGAATAGGTGCATTTTACAAATGTTTCAACCAAATTCAGTGTGAAACATACCTTGAAAATCCTTAGACTTTAGGATGCTGATACACTGGCTCATTGTAACCATGTTATGATGAAATATGTTCCTACACATGTCAGCCTGGCTTTCTGGCTGGGGGAAACTTAGTAGTGAGAACCGGTGGGTCATCATCTCGAACATCTTACACTTACAAGTCTAGGCTGTGAATTAAAAGAAGAACTAATATTATAGACCTATGTGCAACTATTATATTAGGGATGAAATGAATATACTTAAAATTACAGTTTTTAATGATTTAAATACTGTCTAAAAACGATTAGGGAAAAAAATTAGTGTAAGATAATTAATTTTTAACAAGACACATGACATAGATTAGATTCATTTAAAAATGGGTAGTAAATATTTCAATTATGATTAAAAACACAATTTAAACCAATAAAATTAAACTAAATGTAAACAATTTAGGAAAATGACAACTTATTTAATTATTTTGTGCACAAACCTGCTTGTGAGAATATTGAACTTCTTTTAATTCCGCAACGCCCTGTTGACTGTTGTTCGAGCAGAAATTAGCTCGAGACAGTCGTACAATATTTTACTGTACTGTACTGTACTGTTAGTACTGTTAGGTCTTACTTCAAATTTCTTCATATATCATCAGATTTTGTTTCGGGATATTTTGGATTTGCTGCGCTTTCATCTGACAACAGAACTTTATTAAATTATTTAATTATCGATTTATGATCCAATTTTTGTAATTAAAAAACAAAAAAAAAAACCTAAAACTATAAATGACAAATGACAAATGGCTGGCATAAGCAAAGAGAATTATTCTAGGATACTTTTGAATTCCCCTTTCTAAAAATAGCAAACCAGACAACGAAATGGGTGAATTAGGGCTACGTATTGTAATCGATTTTAAATATGTGGACGATACCGGTAGGCTATTTGAAGTGCATCTCCATCGATAAAATAATTTAGTGGGCCCTATACTATTTCTAAATATTGGTTATTGGTTGCTAAATGTCAAACACTTGCAATAAAACATAAGTTAAATTAAAGAAGTGAAGGGGAAAATTTTGTTTACTTATTTTTTACTAATACTAATACTACTATCATGAATTTTAACTAATTATAATGCTCATACTCATATTACTATTATTACAATTACAATTAGTATTAGTATTAATAATACTTATGAAATGTTAACATGCTTTTAAACATGACTTTGCAATAATCGAGTAACATTATAATCATAATAATAATAAAAGAATTTTAAATTTAAAAAAAAAACAGCCCGTACTATTCGTTTTATGTTGTTATTCAAAACATTGACACTGGGTGGCGACAACGACTAGACGGTGGCTTCCCATGTCATGCGGCCTTGACCTAGGCCCATATCTTGAGGTTAAAGTTTTCTATTCAACTGCGACGTAATTTTTACTCCCGTTTAAACGTATAAATGTACTTGTGTTTTAATGGCTAGGCCTCGTCTTTCTAGATTCAACGTTATTCTGCAATAACTGAAGGACATTGTGCACACATACATTTGTTCACGGATAAATTTACACTGTGACGAAAATAATTCATCACCAGAAACTGTAATATTCTTTATTGTTGTCACATCAAATTTAAATGTTTCTGCCTTTTACAAGTTGAAGTGTTGAAGTTGTCGAATGTTTGCCAAGTTGTAAATTGGACAATTCCATCATTGCATTTTGTATACTTATCGGCATAATTTAATAATGGACAGTAGCATAATTTCTAGTTAGATGCAGTGTAAATCCTCGCTGTACGCTATATATATTTAGAGAAAAAAATAATGTCATGGCTAGTTATATACCTTGTAAACCCTTCTACTTCTATACAAATTTAGAGAAAAAATTATGTCATTGTTAAGTAAATATAACATGCTTTACAAGTTGTTAAGGACGCCATTCATTATTATTATTTATATAACGTTGTGCATCCCTAAGCAAGCGACAATGCCATTAATACAAGATATATATATACATTTGTTGATAATGTATGTAGTGTCACTACATTGGTGATTATTGAAGAGTTTGTATCTGATTTTTTTGACAGGTAAGTATGTGGTAGGGGTGTGTTTGTGTGACATGTAAGTTTGTGGTAGTGGTGTATGTGAGAGGTAATTATGTGGTAGTGGTTTGTGTAACAGGTAAGTTTGTGGTAGTGGTGTGTGAGTGTGTGTGTGTGACAGGTCAGTATGTGGTATTGGTTTGTGTAGCAGGTAAGTTTTTTTCTGGTAAAGGTGTGATTGACATGTAAGTTCGTGGCGGTGAGTGTGTGACATGTAATGTTGCGTTAGTTTTGTTGGGGGGGGGGGCGGGGAGATTAGATCTTGGTTTTGGTGTGTGAAACATCTGAGTAAATATGACTTGATTGAAACTAATCATTTTGCTGTATTATGAGTGTGGGAGGCAGGTGACCGTAATTGTGAGCTTGTTTAAGGGGCTTTGACGAATAAGATTGAAGTGAAAGCGGGCGGGTCAGTTAAGATGGACAGCTTTGGGTTAAGCCCTTTGGGACAGGTCAGTTATGCGGGACGAGTTTGGGTTAAGCCCTTTGGGACAGGTCAGTTATGTGGGACAGCTTTGGGTTAAGTCCTTTTGGACAGGTCAGTCAGGTGGGACCGGTTTGTAGTAAGCATTGGAGACAGGTCAGTTATGTGGGATCAGTTTGTAGTAAGCGTTGGACACAGGTCAGTTATGTGGGACCGGTTTGTAGTAAGCGTTGGAGACAGGTTAGTTATGTGGGACCGGTTTGTAGTAAGCGTTGGAGACAGGTCAGTTATGTGGGACAGGTTTAAGAAATTGTGTTTGTGTGACGGCCGCGAGACAAGAACGCTCCGTGGTGTCAGTAATGTCTTACTGTGAACTTTTCTTGTGCTCCCTAATTCGTTAATATCCACGATATTAATGGCTGCCTGGACGTCAACAATGTGCGGACATGTCATGAAACGCACACAGCAATGACTCTGACAACCTTTTATCTTGGTCTTTATAGAAGGGAAGTAAGCCTCTGAATTTTCAACACTGCCAATAAAAAGAGTGGTCTACCCTGACATGACACTGAACGCAGTAAATCTTGCAGCCTGCACGGTGCTGATGTGCATTATACAACTGGGTAAGTCTAACTTAACAAACGTGTACATTTGTCTAAATTATAACACTGTATTCAGCACACGGATCAATAATTGCTTAAAGGAAATACTTCAATATTTTAACATAACAAGCACATCAGTACGACACACGCATGAAGTGTGCATAAATCGTTGATAAAATAAGAATTCATCATTAAAAAAAAAAAAAAAAATCAAAAAAAAAATTTAAAAAATCATACTGTGTAAATTATTAAGCCCCTATATTTTTTAAGGAAATACTTAAATATTTTAACAAAACAAGCACATCAGTACGAAACACGCATGAAGTGTGCATAAATCGTTGATAAAATAAGAATTCATCATTAAAAAAAAAAAAAAATCAAAAAAAAAATTTAAAAAATCATACTGTGTAAATTATTAAGCCCCTATATTTTTTTATGAAAGTAAAAGCAATTCGGAGTTCGGTATTGTCACTTATGAGACAGCACTTAGGCTTCTATGCGGTATTTTGTTAATCTTACGTCATCAGAGACAATGGTTCCTAATTTGATGTTACTGTCCACGCACCGTATCCCGGCTTGTGTGCATGTGCTGTGTGGCCTCAGAGGATTTGAATAAGTGTGTTCAGAGGATTTAAAGTGGGATCAGAGGATTTAAGGTGGGTTCAGAGGATTTGAAGTGGTTTCAGAAGATTTGAAGTGGGTTCAGAGGATTTGAAGTGGGTTCAGAGGATTTGAAGTGGTTTCAGAAGATTTGAAGTGGGATCAGAGGATTTAAAGTGGGTTCAGATGATCTGAAGTGGTTTCAGAAGATTTGAAGTGGGTTCAGAGGGTTTGAAGTGGGTTCAGAGGATTTGAAGTGGTTTCAGAAGATTTGAAGTGGGATCAGAGGATTTAAAGTGGGTTCAGATGATCTGAAGTGGGTTCAGAGGATTTAAAGTGGATTAGAGGATTTAAGGTGGGTTCAGATGATCTGAAGTGGGTTCAGAGGATTTGAAGTGGGTTCAGAGTATTTGAAGTGGGTTCATAGGATTTAAAGTGGGTTCAGAGGATTTAAAGTGGGTTCAGAGGATTTAAAGTGGGGTTCAGAGGATTTAAAGTGGGTTCAGAAGATCTGATATGTTTAGAAGATTTGAAGTAGGTTCAAAGGATTCGAAGAGCGCCCGGTGACGTGAGGACCATTCTCTGCTTTCGGTAAAGGAACCTCGCTCTGTCAACTGGGTCCCTTTCGCTCAGTCGTGTACAATCTTCTCATAATTTTTTTTTTCCCTTCAGCTGCTGTTTCTGACTCCACTGCACTTGTCCCTGGTATAGATAATCACGTCTTTCGTGCTTAGTTCTTTGCACCCGCAATGTAAAAATGAGTATGATGGCAATAGCAGGAATTGAGAGGGAAAAAATTATTCAGGTGGAAAGTTCTTTATTTGTGTTATTGGTTTTCCAGTTGGTCGGGTTAGTTTATGAGTCGACAATGCTCTCCTTGGGCAGTTGCAGTTTTGAAAGATCTTTTCCAAATGTGATATCAACTCTGCCATTCTTTATTATGTACATTTCATTGACCTGGCCTACTCCTGGCTAATTACTGCCTGACTCATGTCCAACTCCTGCCTTACCGGATTAAAAAAAAATAATAATAAAATGTCCTCCTGCTTAAACAAAGGGGCATAACTAAATTTTTGAACTTTAGTTTTAAAAAAATGAAGACTTATAATTTCTAACAAACATCGTCATTGTAATTTAAATTTGTGTTTTAAAAGAATGAAAGAAATGATATAATTATGACACAAAATAAGGTTATTTGGACAATTGAATTATGACATCTGATTTAACTATCGCTGCATTCTCAGAAAAAAATGAACCGACAATCACCATAGTAACAGCCGGTATTATCTACCAATGTTAAGCAGTATTGAGTTTTATATTCTGTTTGTGGATATACAGTGGAACCTCTCATAACGAGCACCTCTCATAACGAGTAATTCGCATAACGAGCAAAAAGAAAAGATGTGAAGAAATTGCTCCTTTAACGAGCGACATTTCGCAGAACGAGTTACTTTTCCCAAATTTATTTGTGAGCCGGGACTTCCGCGCCGATGCATTAGTCTGTGTTTAGCACTCGGTCTGTTAACGTATTGTTTTCTTGTGTGATCACCAGTTTTTAAAAAAAATTGTATTCACACTCCAGACTCGTAATTTTTTTTTTATGTGCAAAGTGTAATGACCTGTGCTAAAATGTTTTCGAAGAAAAAACCACAAGAAGACAATCATAAGAGAGAAAAATAACTGTTGAAATGAAACGTAAAATCATTTAAAAACGAGAACAAGGTGTGAGCGTGGCTAATCTAGCGCGCACATACAATCGGTCAACATCAACGGTCTGCACTATTCTTAAGAAGAAAAACAAAATTAAAGGAGATGGATGCTTCAAAGGGAAACTGTTGCATCGTACAATTGAGAAGCATCACCCTAATAAGGAGGTGGCTAGTCGTGCTACAATTTTATTCAATGATAATGCTGTGAAACATTTTCGTAAAATTTTGAAGTGTCGGCAAAAACACATTGCTTTAGACAGTTTTCTAGTTAAAAAGGATTAATTATTTGTCATAAATTCATATTTTATTTACGTTTTTTGTTTCAAATCTAAATTGTATTCCAAGTTGTTACACTCCTTAACAATTCATAAGTAATTTTATTTCAATAAATGTTAATAATAATTTTTGAAAATTTATTACTTTTTCAGAATGGAACGTATTATCGTATTTTAAATTGATTTGTACGGGAAAAAATTGTTTCGTTTAGCTAGTGTTTCGCTTAACGCGTAAGATTCTGGAACGAATTATGTTCGTTATGAGAGGTTCCACTGTATATTAAACTACTAATATATATATATATATATATATATATATGTATATATATATATATATATATATATATATTATATATATATATATATATATATATATATATATATATATATATATATTATATATATATATATATAACTATTTTATTTATATTATAATTTCAATAAATTTAATATCGAGCTGTTCGATTGTTTCATCATCGAAACTTTCTTAGTCTAGTAGGCTAAGCTTCTTGTAGGAATCAGCTTGTAAAGGCATGCCAACTATCATCAGCTCTTATAACTTTTGAACGAAAGAAGATACAAACATACAGATTGGTCTTTAAAAAAAAAAGAACAAAAGAACTTCACTCGTGGCTGCAACTGTTTAGTTTACATTCACCGAATGTACGGAAGATTAACGGCTAGGGGGCCTTAAGGATCTGTGACTATCCTCCTGCCAGACCACATCCCAGCGTTGTAAGCAGGCGCTAACGCAAACTTGGGAGGCAAAAATCAAACACTTATGGCTGCAGAGGGTTAGTCCCTCCCATGATTCTGCTACACCTTTGTTCATATCATCCCTTTAACTGGCTAGTTTAACACAAAACATAATATGTAACTATTAATTTTATTTTAACTTTCAGGACACGACGTTGATGCCCAGGCACCTGAAGTGGTTGTCTTTGGAAGATCCCAAGAGCGTGGTAGTGATGGAACACCTGGGGGAACTTCGCATAATAGAGGACCTGGAGGGTCTGTTGGACAAGAGGTTGGCGGGAGCCCCGGGACTCCTGGGACAGATGGTTTAACCGGGGCACATTATTTTTCTGACGGCGCCGCGGCTGAAGGAACGCCGGGGACTTCTGGGAGGAATGGGATACCAGGAATTCCTGGGGCACCAGGTGTGGCTGTGGCTGTTAGTGGACCTGAGCGAAATGTGGTGCCTGCGGCAAAAGGAGGATCCCGCGGTGGGGGAGTTGGAGGTGCTGGAGGGATTGGTGGTGCTGGGGGAGCTGGGACTGGGGGTAATGGTAGGTTTTTATGCTGGTATGCTGGTATGCTGGTATGCTGGTATGCTGGTATGCTGGTATGATGGTATGATGGTATGATGGTATG